GAAGTACCCCCGACCCACTTCTTTTTCCACTCGCTCGAGTAATTATCTCTGAACACCAGCTTCTATCTTTTTATTTCCATTTTTTCTAAGCAATTAAGTCGTGCAGATGGATGTCTTGGGAAATTTTGCGTGTCATTTTCATATGCTGCGACCGGAGCATGCATAATCGCATTTTTGCACTGAGCCTTTCATCCCGGAAATAGTGTCTGTTTTGGGTAACTCGGGGGAAATTTACCCTGGTTTCTTTCTTTAGAGAATTCTTGGGTAAATGAATCTAATTACTGTACAGTATATGCATTCGAAAATGCCTGTAAGAAGGGGAATTGGACGCAACGTAGTTCAATTTTTTCCTTCATGAAAGGATTCCTTCATATGAACGATATATATATACAGTATATATACGTAAATCAAAAATGTCCTTCAAGTTCAACAGCAAAAAGTTGGGGTTTTCTTATCCTCGGCAATTTTCGTTGTCGCTGGCACTTCAATTTTTGCAATTTTTCTCCATGCGTTTTGCCTCCTAATTCAAAATTTCCGCATCGTTCTTCCCTCTCTGGATTATTGGAGAATTGTGCTGAAACCACAGATTTTAAATTCGTCAGTTTTGGAGAATTATAAACCTTGAAGAGGATAATATGAAGATCAATATTCTTCAAAGGAAGAACCTAAACCTTAGCTTCTTTATTTGTGTTTGTGATATCGCCTTTCAGACAGGTTAAAGCATCTGAAACCAAAGCAGACTTCAGCGCATTAATAGGAAAAAGATATGCACAGTACTGCACAATGAAACTAGAATATTTCAGGAAATTCAAAAGGTGAGCACTTTTTATAAAACCTGATGGATTCAAACCGCCAGTTACTGGGATTTCATGGCAAGAAAGAAATCTATAGACAGAAACTCCAAGAACCATTATTAATCATGCCCTTACGTCATGATTTTTTCGTATAATACAGTACATGGATTTTTTGTTATCTGCTCTCGCTGTTTGATTTTAAAATTAAAATGAAGCTGAAATTGTACATAAATGTTCAATCTTTTCGAAATCTCTGTTCACGCTGAAAAAAAAATCGAAAGCTTCCGCCTGATTAATGACAGCTTTTTTGCTGGTGTGACTATTCTGATTCTGGGACTTCGGTAGTAATATGAAACGGTTCCTCTCAGTCAAATGACAAAAAAAAGATACTTTTCGAAGGTTCTCGCTCAAGGCCACACTCGCTTTTATCAAATAATATCCGACCCACATGCGGCGCATATATATATACAGTACAGTATAAGTTACCGAAAACTAGGATCCATCATATCCTCATACAGCAGTTCAAGGTTGTTTTTTTTTTGGATAAAAAATGAATCACGTTTACACCCCATGCCATTTACATCCCTCAAACCTTCCTTTCTCATTCAACTGTTCTTCTATTCAGTCTTATATTTTTTGTGTCCACGTTTTATGCGTAAGTATAAAGTCGTATAGAGTATATATATTTCATACCACGGTCGAAACATCAGCGAGTAACTGAGTTGCTGCGATACGAGGGAGTATTTTCGCGGGCGGTGACCCAATCCGACCGAAATGGAACTGTCAACCTAAGTCAAGGAAAAGTGGGGGAAAATAAAAACAATCAAGTCTCTCTGCCTTTCTTCGAAAGATATAAGCTCATGCTATTTTTGCCTAAAGCTGGAAGAACGTGGAAAAAATAAACCCTGCGGGAAGATTTCTTGCTTCGGATGGCAAAAACGGAATTTTATAATTTAGTCTTCTCATATATTTTCGTTTTGGCTCACATTTGATGGCAGAATAAGCTCCTTCGTTATTACGCCAATTTTGGAATAACTACGCTTGAGGAGCATTTAAACTTTTGTTTTTCTGTGCATTCAATTTCAAAAAATAGGAGTTCATATACTCTGCTAAGTCTTCAGCTGGTTTTTTTTTTTTTTCAAGTTAGACCTCTGGTCATATTTAAATTATCATCTCATTTTCGTATTTCAGCGGAGATTTATAAAAAGGTTTCAAGAGAACTTCATATACTGCAGGGGTGCCCAAGATACGGCTCGCGGGCCAGATCTGTCCCGCGGAGGCTTTTCATCTGGCCCCTGAAGCCAGCATGGAAAATCTCCACAAAAAATTAAGACCCTCAAAAAGGAAAAATTGCAAGTTTTCCAAGACATCTTCAGCCTGCAATTTTGATTAGGAATTTTATTAGGGCTTCATAAATTCTGTTATGATCCCTTTTAACCAGATAGAACAGTTTGCATTGCTTTGTGATGTCAGTCATTCTGTTTTTCAGATTAAAGGACAGGGTTTTGCAATTTTTAAATTCAAATCCTACCCCAGAATTTTCTGTCATGTTTTTAATTTAATTGCATATCTTGATGAGGGAAAGATCTAAAGCAGCTTAATTTTTTTAATAGCATGAACAACAGTAGACCATCATGTAAAAATGCAAATGTGAAGGGATATGGACAAATTTTGAAAGACAATTCAACACTGGGCCAATTGAGATGGAAAATTTGAGTCAGGGTCAATGTGAGACAGGGTCAATTTGAGACAGAGGGCCAATTTGAGACAGAGGGCCAATTTGAGCCAGGGTGATTCAGTGACAGGGACACTTGGAGACATTGACATTTAGATACAAAGACAATTTGATGCTCTCCCAAAGCAACTCCGCAAAAAATATGTTTCTTTCTTACACACTTATTTTCTGGTTTTCTCCAGATTTTTAGTGAATCTTAAGGAGTTTTCAATTGCACTGAAATTTCAGGTTGCCTTCAGGCAACCTGATTATTATTATTATCAACATTTAAATTCACTCATAATTTTCAGTTACTTACTGCTTTTGGACTTTGGTTGAATCTTTTTGAAAAGTTTTGCAGATTGAATTCTATGATTCCATTAAGAAAAATCCAGTCATAAAGTAATGAAGATACAAGTTGAACTGTATCAGTAAAAATGAAGCAGAAAAGTCTGTAGATGAAAAAAGTCAGATAGCCAGATGATGAAAATCTTGAAATACTTATTGAACTTGATTATAGACTAGAACTTGATTGCTTTTAAATTAGAATAGTTTAAAGTTAAACCATCCCAGAAATTCATGAATTATACAATTTACTGGACAATATTTCTTCCTTTTTTCAATTGTGGCCCCCCATAATGCTCTTCTACTTCAATGTGGCCCTTGGCTATACTTCTGAGTTGGGCACCACTGATATACTGTATGTAGATTAAAATTTTAATGCTGTATAGCGTATGTTTTTAAACCCCGCGATATCATATGACCTCTCTCATTGTATTTATTTTTGATCTTCAAATATACATTTGTACAATGGAATGATGCTTTAATTTTCGAAAAAGAAAAGCTGTCATACAACCTCGATTTTCTTTTCAACTGCATTTTCAGTAAATTATCGAACACTGCATTTTCATTCGATTCCATACTTGAAAATGATGAGTTCCATTTGTATGCTCAACTGACGATTGGACCAGCAAAGTAAAGAAATTCGCTTGTTTTAGAGATTTATAGACCATAATAAACTTACTTGAAAAATCTTATAAAGGCATTTGAAAACGTCAACATGTATACTTTTTGTAAACTTAATAAACGGATGATGACCTGAGCACACAAAATAAGTCAATTCAAGCTTAAATGTAAATAAAGTACGTACTGCATGCATGTTCAATGTATTCAAAGCTCTTTCAATTTTGTATTAGAAACAAAGGCTTCGTTTTATTCCTGAATATTTTCGTTCAGAAGGCGCATTCACGACATAAGATCCTTAGGCAACGTTTCCATTGTTTTTTTTTTTTACAAAACCTTTGAAATTGTTTTAAACGCACGTACGTGTTGAAGTTTTCAACGGGGCTATAGTTTCGCCCTGTATAGACTGTCGTGCCTGAACAAATTCATCCAATTTCCGACTTACTTGTTTGTATTTGAACAGTTTCTCCGAACAAAAATCCGTGTTTAAATGATATCAACGATCTGCTCCTGCTGTACAATTACGAATGTAGAAATTAAGAAGGCCTACTTTATCAATAATATCCTTTGCATATGGAGCATACCGGTTTAATGCAGCACACCGAACACTTGAATAATTTGACATTGAATAAAAAATTCGTTCAAGGTTCTTTTTTATCATTTCCATTTTCAAAATAATAAATTAAAATGCCTCCAGAAGTTCAACACGAACCCAAAGTTTTTGTATCGAGGAACGAGTAGGAGGAAAGCTAACTCTGGTACTGTACTCCAAAGGAGTAATACGTATATCATATACGAGTTTGGTCATCATGAAAACATATATTTGAAGCTCGTCATACACGTCGATGATAAGTAGATTAAATGAAAAAATATTTCGCCTTTTTCGATTTGGAAAATTGCCAAAATAAGGATGATAACTACCGAAAATGTTAATCCAACCCAAACGAGATATGATGGAGCTTAATGATTTGAATGCCAAGAAACATAATGAAGAACTATTCTTTCCATATGCAACACCGTGCAATTGTTGACAATACACTCAAAATCCAAATATATAATTTTATTATCAAAATTTGTAATATGTAAATTGATTATAATACGGTGATGGTCATGGGCAACTTTATTTCACATCAAGATTACAGGTAAATTCCCCAATATAAATATCAGCAGCAGTCGTATCACCTAATCTTGCACATTATTTCAATCAAATATGATTATGATAGATTACTGAGGATCACATTAGTACATACAGTATGTTCAACCCCTCACAAGGGGCCATGTGTGATAACTCGAACGTGTCAGCCATAAATTTGGAACATACTGTAATTTGATCGCAGAAAACATTGGTGCAGTACTTAACCCAAAAAATCGGTATTGTTCTAGCACACTGGATGAAAGGAATCATTTGCTAACTTCGCATCAAAATAAGTGATGCAGCTTTCCGTTCATATGAACATCCTGGAGTGAAAACCCATTGAAGAAAACTTTATTGAAAGGTCATGCAAAAATGAGGGTCTCATCGTAAAAATCGTATCTGAACTTACATCCGAATTTTGTGAGTTCAACGAACTGACGAATGAAAATAAATGTTAGCGTCGCCCTTTTTACCCAGTAAATTGCCTTCGTCTGATTAGATATAAATACTACACTCCGATCACCCCATCACGAAGTCGACATCAATTCTCTGACAGAATCGGCGCTTTTTCGAAAAGATACAGCGAATTATGGACGAAGCTCTGGACGAACTCGAGATAAAATTGCAACTCATGCACTCCCGAATTTGCGCATTGGAGACCATCATTCGTCCTGTTCCCAATAACTCGAACGGAACTGGTGAATCCACCGAAATGTACGTCCCTTCCGAGGTCACTTCGTAAAGGTTTTGCCAAGACAATTTTGAAGCGTACAGAAAATGGGTGAAAACTCGTTGAATTTTTGCAACAGCATTATAAAAGCGAGCAGGTCTTCACATACGAAAGGCGAAGAAAACTTACTCCCCGTGAACGCGTCAGACGTTGGTAGGAGCAGTACCCTACAAACCCCTAAATCCAGGTTTGTTCATCTCCAAGCCGAACTATGACGAAAATAGTTTGATTTGTTATCCGGTATGGGGTATTTTCGCTCCATTTTATCCACGAAAGTTCGATTCTACAAAAATAATTGCAGAATTTCAAAGTCGAGGAATGTTGAAGACCTGAACTTGAGCAACAATCTATGTTTCATTCGAATGCTCTCCCGTAATTTTATTTTTCACACGCTGATACGACTAAAATTTTGGTCAAATGGTCAAATCAAAACTAACAAGGCAGTTCGTTCCTCACGTCACTTCGTTATTCACACAAATTGCAAGTTAGGTTTTCGGGTTGATCATCAAGATTCTCAAGAAGACATACTGTACCCTGAATTTGTCAGAGCCTTCATCTGACTCGGTTGCGATTTCACTTGAAACGGAACATTTCTTCAGATTTGTTCTGTTTTCTTAATTCAGCAGTGCTGACATGATTCAAGCATGTAATTTCCATTTTCGAATTCGTGGGATCAGCTAAACCTGACGAAAATCCAATGCTTTTTCTGGCAATACTGCACAACCGTCATGAGAACAGCCTTTCCTTCGTGATAAAAATCTTTCAACGCACCATGCGCCTTACGATTCGCAAACCCAAGCTTCAGGAATCGATAGGATACCACATTCATCGGGATATTCTATCAAAAATTTCAAATGCGACACCCGTTTGCATGTCACTAAAATTCGCGTATTTTCCATAAGGCTTTCGGAAGGAGTTTCGACGAGTAGACGAGGAGTCGTCGTTCAGGAAGCACACATCTCCCACAGGCAAAATCAAATCCCAAATTTGCGGCGCAAATTCGGCTCGACAGTTCCACCGCCACCAGATTCATTCCTGAAATACCTGGGTCTGATTATGTTCGTCCGAAACAACAATCTGCCCAAGCCACCATTCCGACAATGACAACAAAAAAATATTTCGAACACTGATCGTCCTCTCCACAAATGGATTCTGCATTTGTTCCATCAAAAAGTACATTCACAGATGCTTCACCTCACCTCCTACTTCGTTTCCCCCTTTTGCAGATTGGACAAGCGATTACAGCGCATAAAACCTGATACACGTCCAATACTTCCTTCGTATTATCGAATGAAAAACAATAGTTATATTTATCCTCGTACAATGACCCCCACACTTGGGAATCAAGAATCAAATCCGAAGAGAAAGGTTCCATTCCAGCGAACGAAAACGTCAAGACAGACGACACGAGATAGTTATGGTACCAAGCACACAGCTCGAACTGATGATCAGTTATAGATGACTCGAGAATCCGAAGTTCACCAACTTCAAACGCGATTTTTGTTTTCTTTTCTTTCAGTAACCGACACAGTCGATACACAAGAGTACATGAGGTGCGATCAAGTTTTCCGACTTTTTTCTCTTTCTCTTTTTTTTTTCAAATGCTAAGGGAACGCAATTTTTGAGGTGTTGTTTTTTTAACGTTCACTCGATCCTGGGACTGCAACTGTAAATATCACCGTTGGTCCCACCGATCTCCAGCGAAACAATCCCCTGCCATTGGCTCCATGTGACACCAAACTTATTCAGGCACACTTTTTCTTTTAAGAACAAAAGGCTCTTCAGCAACTGAGGTCCGCAGTTTTCAAGCCACCTTGCGCACGTACTGGCTGGCAACGCGGGAGCTCTCACTGGCGTTTTAGTTTCACTGCCACAACTTGAAGGAAAAGAAAAACGAAGGTTGGGAACGCGCACTTTTGAGACGAACGGTTTCGGGGTTCTAATCGATCGGACCGACACAAACCAGTGACAGCTCTTGGGTACCAGTTTTAAATGCGCAAACATACTTTTTTAACAGTGGCTAAAACGTACGAACAGAAAGTCTGCGATTGAACGTTCTTCAGCTCTCTTTTTTTGTTTCTCTCGTTCGAACTAACAGAGGAGAGGGAAGCTAAAAGCTTTCCCCAGAGAGCAAGCTTGGGACACGCAGATCGAGCATTGTAGATCTGAAGCCCAAGTTCAAATATCACAACGATTCTCGAATCCTCTCCGAAGAATAAAACCTCCACCCTCACCGGAAAGGGTACCAGAGTGCGTTAAAAATATACTCAAACATGAGGAGGTGGATTCAGAAAAAATATTGCCATCAAGCCCCGAGGGCGCAACGGGATGCCGAAAAAAAAACTTATCTTCAAGGGGAGTCTCAACACACCTCCGAAGCAGGGAGCGTCGCCAGATTTCGCTTCCCCTGAGATCACGGCAAGCTGTAGAGGAACGAAACTCACACACTTGTACCACTCAAAGATGATTTTTTCACCCGCGCGCTTTGCATGAGAATCAACCCACTTGCTTCACAAAAAAAATAGAGCTCCGAACACCACGCAGGGTTCAACGCCGGGTCTCCGAAGCACCCCCGAGCCCCCGCGAGTTAGATGGATTTGCGTGATGAATATCTTCATGAGTTACGAATGCGAAAAAGAACAATCGTCTCACACGCAACACGTCGCAGAAGATCACGGATTGATTGCTAATTTTGAGAAGCAATTGGCGATCAACGACTTCCCAGCAGAGAAAAAAAGCCTACTGCTTTCGATCTGAAATCTCCGTGACTCAGCGATGCTCTTAGATAAAAAGCCCCATAAAAAAAAATTTCTAGTTCGATTAATCTGCTTTGAAACCAAACCCGAGGATAACTAATCCACTTGGTGCAGGGATAATCTTCGGTACGAATACAGTGCAAGCATTCGCAACATCCAAAAAACTCACGAGTGGATTTTTCGATCGAAAGCCCTGGAAATCATTCGCAAAGCCTCTCCGGAGGCGGACAAAACCTGGCTATTAATTTATGACTTGAAAGAACTTCGATTAAAAGAAAAACTTGACCCCGATGAACATAAGAAACTGTCAACCTTCAACCCGGTCCGAAAATATCAGCAAGGATTTCCCACCGGGAACAGGCGCATGCGTACGCTTTCTAAGATTTTCTGGGTGGTCCCTCAGCTACACAGAACATGAGAAAAATAATGCAAGGCGAAGATTTCTTTCAACGTCTGCTTTAAAGCATAGCAAGTTTGAATGTCCGAGATTTTCTCAGAAATTATGTAAAAATTATAAAATGGAAGAGGCTTTGTACCAGACTGTTCGAAAGATTATTGTTACTTCGGTAGCACTCGTATAAAAACTTGAACAAGTACAGGATAATTCGAAGAATGCTACTTTTCCAGAATCTTTATCACGCTCACAACAAGGCAAAACCTGAATCGACTCTGATCGAACGTCATTCTCATATCTTCGTCATGGGTTCGCTTCTTTTTCAACATGAAAATTTCTAAGATTCTGCACTGCACCAGTCCATAAAAAAAACTTGTAGTTGATTCGCAGGACTTCCGAGAAAAAAAACCCTCGTATTCCCAAAAAACCGGAGACCAGTCCAAAAAAGTGGACTCCGGACAAGAAGCTCTCGCAGATGGCCCAGCGCTGAATGCGTATCACGAGCTCGAACTGAAGGAAATGAGTTGACTCAAAAAGGAAAGCCACGGTCATTTGGCAGTGTGATGCCTGCAAGAGAGCGGCCAAAAATTAAGGATAAATTGGACGACCCGCCAATGTCCGTTTCAATTCAGGTAGAAAAAAAAACGATTTCTCGGCGGACAAAAACATTATTTCTTCAGCCGCCAACTGGCGACGACCTCCTTGGCAGCGGACCCGCGGCGTCCGGAGTCGAGCATCGGCACGAGCGGCAGTGGCGGCGGAGGAGCCGGACCTCCGACGGATAACTGCGGACTCGAGCAACTATTCTTCGTGGCGTCTGCTGAGGCGGCGGCAAGGGCTGAAGTCGTTCCAGACGCCGTCGGAACTGCGCTGCCACCGGGGGCGGCATTGTGCCTCACTCGCATACTCCCCACTCGTCTTTCCGTGTCAGAACCTCTTCGTCTCTGTTGTGACCCTAGAATTCAACATATATCTTTTAAAATGTATTCCATGCACCCTTCAATATTCAAAACCACGCCAACTTGTCAACGACGAATTGGAGAAAGAGGCGCACTTGATTAAACAAAAATATTTTTACACTTTAGCGTAAACATTATTCACCAATGCCAGAAGAGCAAATCAAAGTTTAAAAATATCATAAAGACGAGTCTAAAATATAGAGAGGCAGCAAGTATCAAATGGGTAAGGCTGAGATGTGTAAGATTCGCCAGGTCAGGTCAGGTAGGGTCATCGAAGATAAAGTGTGACCTCGTATCGAACCATCATGAATACGGAGTAACACTAATAGCTAGGCCGCCAAATTGATCAGGAAGAATGCAACTACTTCATCATGCTCTAAATTTCTAAAATATTGGATCAATTTCATGGAAAATGTTCATTCCGCGTATGTGCAAACCCGCGGATTTTACTGCACTCCGAGCACACTTTTGACTAAATTCGACATTCATGCTTCTCAGGAAGAAGTGAAACTTCGAGTCGGCAATGCACATGTCAGTCTTCGCACGCGGGGATCAGACACGTTCTAATAACGAAAATTCCACCGAACGGCACGGTTTCAAAGAAAACATCAATCTCAGTTTCACAATTTCACAAAGGAAACTTATTCTCAAAAATGGAAAGCAAGTTTTATTTGAGATCAAGCTGAAAAAATGTGAGCGCGTTCCGTCGTTAACGTGGGAACCACGACAAGTTCGATGAATGATGCGTACTATTGCGCTTCGCGGAATCGCAACGGGATTTTCGAGACCGGGATTCTTTGCGACTTAATGACCGGTTTGTTCAAGGCGTGGTTCCGGATGCAGCCACCAACATTGTCAACAGAACTACTTCCCATCGCGGAGGAAGATAAAGAATTCTTGTGGGCAAGACGCGAGGCGCACGACGACATGGACGTGAGATACTTTGCGATTTTCCCTGAACACGCAGCGTCTGCTTGGTTAAGGAAATTAAAATCGTGAAAAAAATAATACGTGCACCTACACATTTCGTGAACGAAAGCTTACCCAGGTTATCAGCGTACTGCGCTATGTTATCATCCATCGATGGATTAACCATCGCTGCAGCAACGGCTGGCTGTTCAGGATGCTCAGAAGACCTCGGCATAGCACCCTAAGAGAAAGAAAGGTCATATCGCCATCAGAGTGTCGAGTTGTACGCAGTGATGAGTCAAATCTGAAGCGACTAGAAGACTGCCCAGAGAATCTGCGCATGGAAATGGCACTCGTTACTTAAAAGTTGTAGAAGAGAAATAAGAGCCAGTTTCACTCAGGTACGGGAATTTTTGCTACCAACCCATACTAATCTGACGTTAAAACCGCCTCATCTATGCATTGAAAGCCAGCCAAGTTATATAGTAGAACCATAACGTAGAAATACTGTAAAATAATTCAACCAACTCAGAAAACCAATTCAAACATACATTGTTTTTGAACTGAGTATAACATCTTGGATGGATTCAGCTCAGCGGTAACTTTTCAACTTCCCTCTTTTGAGCAGTACAATACAGTACAGTACATTACTCACTTAAAAACGAATAATTGAGCTAAACTCAAGGGAGGCTAGGTGATGATTTCTTCAAGCAGGGTGATTTCCCTTCGATTACGTTTCATCAACCGTTAAGGGGAACTGCCTCCCTACTTCGCATCGATTTATTATTCCCATGATCTCATCTCAGTTATAGGGGCATAAAACTACAGTATTTGTCATACCTCTTCAATTGCTGGGAGAAAAAATTACTTCTTCGAATTAGACCAGCAATGCGCATTAAATTCTATTAACCGCACTGCCAATTAATCACAATTTTTCAATCGATGCAAAACAGGAAAAACTGGAGGTACTCACGAATTTGAGCATATTCCAATCAAACACATAATCGTAAGTAAATCCCTGACGATGGAAGAGGTTTCTGAACAATTGTCGGAGGTAGCTGTAGTCGGGTTTCTGGTCAAAGCGCATTGACCGACAGTACTCCAGGTACGTTGAAAATTCGGCTGTAAGAAGATATAAACAACAATGACTTCACGCAGGAGTTCCCACAAACGAAGAACTTACTCGGAAAGCCTTTACAAAGCTCATCAACAGGCGTCGACATCTTCTTCTCAGATATCCGCTCGTACTTTTGGCGCTTATTAACGGCCTTCAAGCCTTGCCAAGGTAAAGAGCCGCGATTAAAGTACATCAGAACGTAACCTAGGGATTCAATGTCATCTCTCCGGCTTTGTTCTGGAAAAAGGAAAAAAGTCAGTCAGACGATTGCTTCACTCGCAAATTCTTCCACAGGGACACGTACCTATGCCAAGGTGAGTGTTGATGCTGGCATAACGGGCTGTACCCGTTAAATTCTTGTTCTCCTTGTATGGGATATGTACGTGGGTCCGGGAATCGCGATATTTCTTCGCAAGACCGAAGTCTATGATGTACACCAGGTTGCCCTTCCGCCCCAGTCCCATCAGAAAGTTGTCCGGCTTTATGTCCCGATGAATGAAATGTTTACTGTGGATATACTCTATCCTACTAATTAGCTGATCGGCGAGAAGAAGAACAGTCTTCAAGGAGAACTTTCTCGAGCAGAAGTTGAACAGATCCTCTAAACTAGGCCCAAGAAGTTCCATAACCATCACGTTGTAGTCCCCTTCTGATCCACACCACTTGACCAATGGAATGCCAATCCCACCTTGCATCATCCTATAGAACTTTGATTCGATATGCAATTGCGGGTGTTTCGTCTTCGTGCATTCCAACTTGATGGCGACCTCTTCGCCAGTGGAGATGTTTGTACCTTCGCAAAACACAGAAATGTTAGCATTTCAGATAGGGAAATTGGATTAATCAAAATGTAAAATAAGCACCTAAATAGATGTCACCGAAAGAACCACTGCCGATTTTGCGCCCCAATCGGTACTTATTTCCGACTCGGAGCTCGAGAGTCATGGCTATGAGTCGTCGTCACTCACAACCAAATGGGATCACAACACGCGCTCACTGGGTTCGACCCGTGCTCCGCCAAAAAATGACACTGACGTCCAAGGAATCAGGCAATGCTTACATCAAACGCTGAGCATGTTAAAGTCATCCTGGAACAATTCAATTGGCCTGAAGAATAGGGATCCTCGGTCATGATGGGTCGGGCAAAATTGTGAAGATTGTTAGCCCGATTTCACAGACGCTTGGGCGAGGATAAAAATTTCGTTCTGGCACAGATTCCAAATTTGAGCGAGAAAGCCGTGTGAAAGAATGCGGATCCGCTGAAGGTTCGCATTACTTGCAGCCTTGATCACGACCTTCTTTTCAAGCCTTCAGAAAGACTGCCAGAAGTGTGATACCACACGTAATCGTACATGTGGGCTTAGTCACCGGGAGTGAAAGTAACTGATGACAATCAGCAAGTTTGTCCAACCCTTTTGCACCTAATTAGACTACGCAACCGTGCGATAGCTACGAATGTTTGATTCAACCTGAATAACTAATACTGCTACATATTCGCCGGAATACCATGACATTGCCTGAAACTGTCAGCGAAATCATAGACTTCGAAGCATTCAACAACATCTGCTATCAAGAAAATATTGCTTGGTCGCGTTTACATCGAACGATGACCCAACAATTCAGTACTCATACACCATCGTAAACATCAAGTGCCGACGCTAAATGCAAATAGTTTACGTATGCCACACAACGAACTTGATCCTGTAGTCGAAATAACCCCGGACAGGGTACGTGCAATGCCTAACCATAAGTTCTTCCTTCATCAACACGAATCCACAAGTCAGCATTTTCACGTCATTTACGTTCCGATAGCGATGGACTGGCCAAGGTGAAAGTTTTCGCTGAACCGCCATGATGAGGATATTTACCTCGGATAACACAAAGAGCCCAACAAAAGTTGTGTGGATGGGGTGTTGCCCTGTCAGCTGGTGATCAGCTGATTCAGTGGGAGGCCGCAGGACCATGCACTGCTATCCCTGGACACATTTTTATTAAGGCGTGTTTCTCATGGGACGGATGACTTCCCTTTTTGTGGACCAGCGAATCAGACGTCACATAACTGAAACTATTACGTTATATAGCACTGTACATGCATTTTTGAGCATTGCGAATATACATGCGTAATTATTACCTTAGTGAACACTTCTGACAATCATTGTATCAAATGGAATACGTTTCCGCACCATTCATTCCCCAGAATGTGCAGCAAGAATGGATACGCTGGTGACAGATTTGTATGAATCAAATGTACAGTACAGTACTAAAACCGGGAACGTTGATGTTGCAGTTTCATTTACAAGATACCCGGTTATTATACAAGCCGGTATTTATAGCAAAAGTCATGAAAGAAAGATGTAGAAAAGCTAGTAACAAAGGAATTCATGGAACTAGAAAAATTCCTGTAGGAAACCCCAATAACATGAGCAGAAAATCCTATGCATGGGACCAAATAATTGTACAGGTGAACCTCCCCAATTCAAATACCCCTCAAGTCAAAATTTTTTTTCAGGTCCTATCTGAATCCTGGTGGAATTAATGCATTTAAAACCTACCCTAAGTCAAAGGCTTTCCCCTCAAATCTCCATAAGTCAACTTTTCTGTGGCCTGTTGGCTTTTATTTTCTTGACACAAGAAAAAAAGCAATGAAAAAGCAATTGATTTGTTTTAAAAGGAGGTGAGAGACTTAATAGGGCAAATGAACCCTGCCTCCAAGTTCAGGATGCTTTCAACGCATTCAAGAAGTATATTCAGCCTCAGAATATCATTACTGTATTTACAATTTTGAGCAATTTTTCTCTTTCTTAGGACAAAAGGACTTTGCATTGTATCTCAATTCAAAGCCTCCATCAGCCAAATTTTTTTTACGTCCCTTGAAGTTCAACTGTACATATACTGTGGAAACAATTTTTGTAAGAGGGAATTCACCAGCAGTTTGGACACAGCAAATTGTTTGGATGTTCTTTCACACATGGAAACAAGTTGTAAAAATAATGTATTGCATGGCCAGACATGAAGATATATACAGTATACTCCTAAGGTTCATGTTACCAACATGTAACTTGCTCACATCACAGCGTTTTTCCTTTTATTGAACTGTACACTTGAGTTTGAGAGACACCTTGATAAGTCAACTTCCTCCAGTCAAAAAGCTCCTGAAATCAAATTTATTCTGCAGTGGTCCCAAATAATTGCATCAGCCGTATAGTTTTGTCAACTTGAAACCTCTTTCAAGGCCAAGAATTTCTATGTAGGTCCCTTCAAATTTGACTTCAAGATGTCATCCAACCATATCATATAAATACTTCAACCTCACCATATAGCTAGATTTCAGAAGCAATAAGCTCATTTCTTCAAAGTAACAGTGCAGCTAACTAAGATACTTCAAATTCAAATTTGAGAATCCATTCATGGGCAAAACGCTGAATGTGGTATCATGATGTACAGGTGGACATTTTCAACAAAAAATGCAAGGGACCAGAAAAAATTCTTTGTAGAGAGAATTTTTTGTGGGGAACACTGATAGAATGGGGAGATAACCACGTGGGACAAAATAAATACATTTCTTTTATACAGAGATAACTGTTGTAGACAAGATTGTTGTAGAGCAAGTCCACCTGTATTCTAATAGTGTTCAGATGAATATCAAATTATCCCATACCAATTACCAGAACACAAAATGGGCAGGCATATATAATCAATGCAGTCAGCAGCAGCAGGAATCCAAGAAAAAACACTCCAAACCAGAAAAATATCAATGGGAAAGGTTTTGAGCAAACAATAAAATGAAATTAGCGAACAAATACATTTTAATGCTTAATTACGCATTTACTGCCCATTGTCCAATCTCCGCAACAAACCGTAAAACTGACTAGGTTTTTTAAACGAAAAATTATCACAATTCGGAACGCGCGCAGCTTTTTTCTGCGAAGGCCACGTTTCTTCAATATCAAGCAACTTTCCTGACAAGCAAGTCGCACAAGCAGCAGAAGGCGACACAGCATCGCCGAACTCGTTAGTCAAGAATTTGCACAACTCCGGGTCATCAGAATGCACAAATGGACACCCACCAACTTCGGAACCCGACATGATCAACTGTTGCAGAGAGGTACACGAGTGCGCCGAATAATCCACACAACGTCCAGTTTTTCCGTAGAGTCCTCGGATGCTTCCAACGTATTTTCGAGAGTTCAATTGCCACGAATGTCCACATAAATTTAAAGACTTATTTCTTGCATTTGAGGAGCAGGAAATTTCCGGCAACGAGTACTCTTGCTTCCAAAGCTCAAACGCATCATCCATGGATAAGCCGATTTCCTTCAGGAAAAGCGTGTACTGAATCCTTCCATTATGTTTCAACCTGCGTAGAGACATCCGAACATTTCATGAGGTCAATGAAAAATAAAATTTTCACTCGATTCTCGAAAAAAAAAACATTAAATTTCCTGTTTGACGGCAAAACGCCCTGACGTTCCGGAATCACAAGCGCCCTGAAATATCTTTGTAAAATGTTAATTTAGGGCGTACTTCAAATCTTCAGAACTATGCTCCAATTGATAGCATACGTCAAATACCTCAAATATAGACTTCTCTACAGCGACATTCTCCATAAAAAAAATTATAGTATGGACAGCCCTAATTTGACGCATATGAAGCTCCTTAACATTTTCAAAATACACGCGGACTCTTTCTACAACAAAATTCGGGTGACGAGGAAAAATGCATTGTAGAGATAATTTTATTGTGGAGATCCCTTACAATATGGGCAGCGAACCATAAGGGACTAATAAAATGCATTACAGTATACACAAAAAATAGGTTTAGACAATATTGCAGTAGATAGAGTGCAGTATTTAAAATTTGCAGTAAATACTGTTGGGGAGAAAGTAAACATCTAACTCATCATCGAACATCTTTGCAAAAATTAAGCATGCGTTCAAATCAATATCTCAGTCGCGTAAAAAAAACGAAAACTCAAATCACAGAAGGAATTACAGTACTGTACTGTATTCAACAATTTTTCGCTCAATTTTGTGATCTCTGATGGGCGGTTAGCGTCAGGATAATGAATTCCTTGAAGGCCCAACTCCAACTTCATTATTAAAAAAAAAAGAAGTGAGCATTCCGCAATTTGTTACGGCGATGCATCGCATTTGCTAATGTTCAGTAGTTTTTGAGGTTTACTCTCCGTAATTCCCGGGACATTCAAAAGCAAGTAACGCCAGTGCATCGTGGGATAATGCAAAATGTCCATCTATCCAAACGGCTGAAAATTAAGGTGTCCCTCAGAATCCATGGCGTCTTACATTAGAATAAATACTATTCATGTTCTTGCCTGTGCGTTTTCCTCAACGTGCGATGCAAGTTTTCCATACAGGGCGGAAAATACGTCTTCGCGAAATGATCAATATCGTCGCAACGTATTCGCAGCATTGGTCCAACAGTTGGACTTGTATTCCACAGCTTCATTCTTCTTTTCAGAATGCGCTTGATCTCATGCCTAACACTGTCTATCCGAAGATCCTCGCGTCTCCTGGATCTTTTCAACACTGACATTCCCACGTTGGTCAATCCGGCAAACAAACATAATAAGCCAGACGCTTCCTTTTCCAGGGAGTCAAGTAAAGCTTCGCCTCTGACGAGAACAACGTCCCGGGTAGCAATCAAAGATAAAAGAGTTTGGAATGGAACTACAGGAATGCAGTTGGATTTCCAAGCGTTAATGAAACACGACAAAGCTGTGTAGGCCCAGCAATAAAAGTCATAATGTCGATCACCGAATCCACCGGAACGGGGATCCCAGCTGATCACAGATCCGACTTCTTCCCGGGTTTTCTCCAGCAATTTCGTCAAGCTGCGCTTTTCCAAGTGAGAAACTCTCTTCGAGAAAAACCGGGCTTCTAATTCAACAAGTAGTGCAGAAAGGTCTGGATCGTCACAGCACACGAGCCTGAGCACAAAATGAGAAACTAAGTCCTTGGACGTGCCCTCGACCAACCAGTTGACGTCGAAAGTTCGGGCTTCGTTGTCGGACACACGGTTTGACTTTTCCGCGAAAGCATCCAAAAGAAAATTCAACCGCGAAACGGCTGCATGGTAGAACTTCTCCAATCTGATCTCTCCCGCGGGAGGCGTTACATAAAAAACCATTTCTCCTGCAAAACAGAAAAAAAAAATAAGACGTATCCAGACTTAATTTCTTGAAACGCATAGAGAACATTTTCACTGAAGTACCTTTTGCGACTGCATTCGCAAATCGGGTTGAAATGTGGCTTTTTCTCGTTGTTTGTGCAGCTACATTCTGGCTGTCATCAGAAAAAAAAATCTTCCCTGTTACAGAATTGAAGGACACAAGTATATCTACAATAAGACTTCTGAAAAGCTGAAAATGCCGTAGTCTTGAATTCAGCTGAGAGACATTTTGAATCCACAGGCTTTCAAATTACATTTTCCCCCCATGATCTTGAGTTTTTTTTTCAGATGAGATGAATATCCATCTATTTCAATTTTTCCGAAATTCAAAATTAAGTGGTGAAAAACGGAGGTTTCCATCGGCATGGGGAATACCGTAGTTTTCTTTCCGAATTTTCTTCGAAAAACAAAGGATCGTGCCTTACTTAAAGGAAAAAGTTAATCGAATGAATATTATTCTGGCTCAACGGGGAGGTTCAAAAGTTTGAAGATCATCACTTGCTTTGTATGCGCGTGCGGTTTCCAATGAGAAATGCATAACGCAATTTCCTCTCGATCGAACTAAATGGTGGCAACAGAGACAATTGTACACTCAATTCAAACTGAGATGATGGGCGATCACTTCATCTTTCTTCGGTGACAGAAATCTTGCGGATTCTTCAAATTTTCGGACCTTTCCACGTAACTGCAATTCCAGTTGACTTAAATCAGGAATTACGAGAAATCACACTATGTTTTTGAAGATTAGGCTCCCCACAGAAACAAAAAAACCGGAGGAACAAAAAATCTTTTCTTACCCCAAATGCTACCTCGGCGACCTTGGTTTTCACATGAAGTATTCGGAGTGCAAACCATTATAATCCAAAGATCAGCATTGATTCATGTCTTAGAAATTTATTAAACTTTCATACCTTAATGCCGCAGGAATTATTTCACCCCGAACAACACAATCTACTAAATTATAACCATACAACCACGCTGATTCGCAGAAAGTGGATCATACACATGGAACAGACTATTAACAAACGAATCTCGGTATAGAAGTAAGAACGAAAAGCCGAACATCAATATTGACACACGGAGGTACGGATATTACAAATCACAAAATTCCTGCTTTTTTTTTTCTACACCCATCTAAAATTTAAGAGGCGAATTTCGAAGGATAAAAGCAAATCGATCTTTCCGTCAAAATTGTTGCACAGAGATGAACCAGCATTTCTGCAGGCAATATCCCACACCCCGAAGCACAGTTCACAACGGACCATACATAACGGGTCCACACACAAAAAAAACAAGTGGTACAACACGTAGTTCAAACTGTTCTTTTTTTTTAACGAACAGAAAAATCGACCGAAATTGCTCCTCGAGATAATGAGGAAGAAGCGGGAATAAATGTGGTTTCCAGGATACAGTACTCCATCACGAGGAACATTAACTGCTGCTCACTTCCCCGAAGTTGCAATGACCCGTCTTCTTCGCGTGCTCCGCGGCTTCCTTTTGACCAATAAGTTGTTGTTTACAAACGAGACATCGCAAAGTGAATTTGGCCACATCGGTAAAATTCCCGCTCCGTTTCCCTTCTTGGGCCATAAATTCTGCGTTCTGCAAAATCGCTAAGTCGTCTCTCGGAAATGACGTTACGATTCCTAGCGGATTCTGGAATTGAGTAAAAACATTTGTAGAATCGATTACCGATTCGTGAGGGAGCAATGGCAGATCTCTCGCGATCCTGTTCAATCATATATAATCCTGCTAAAGAAAATGACGGTCTTCTGAATTCAAAAAGCTTCGTTGAATTAGTTTTAGGTAAAAATTAAAGTACTGTACTGTAACTACAACATCAATTTTTGCTGATCGACAGAGACGCAGCATAAAAGACTACCGAAAAACGAATCGAAAGGATTACTAGAAGGACCTCACAGAAACATTTCACAATGAAATACGGTATAAGACTCACATCACATGGTTCCCAATAGATCGCATCATAGTGGATTCCGTCATAATAAACGAAGATCCTTCTGTCGTAACTTCGGTCTTCGCCAAAACGCGTGAGATGACCCGATTGTGAGTTGATCATGACTATTTCAGTTGCATAGTACTCGGAAAGAATTTTCAGCTCGATCGCACCTCCCCATGATTGATCTTTTCTTATCCATTCGGCGTATTCTTTCGGTGGTTTTCCGAGAATGACCTCGCTGTATTCTTCCGGTTTATCAAGGATTTCTCCAGCTACGACCTTTCTAAGTTCCATGGCGGCACTCGTATCCGCTTGACCTGGAAATTTTCGAACATGCATTCAATTCAAAATCTCATAATTTTACGTACCTACCAACAAAAACGCAGATAAAAGAAAATCTGAAAAATATTTCAGTGCGAGTTCGATGAACTAGTAATACATAAAAACTTACTCGCTATCCCGAAGTACACACTCGTGAACAAACACGAGTTGTCGTTGGGCATAGGTTTCTTCAAAAGCTGTCCATTCATGATGGCTTCTTTCACTTTCACAAGATCACGTCACAATTTTCAGCTGTCATCATCAACCTACAAGAAGAAAGAAACGATTGATCAACACCAAACGAAGAAGAGAAAAAATAGAGCTTCTTCGACTGAATAAGCATGACAAATCGTTCGTTCATTTGACTAGTGAACTGATTTGCTCGACAAAGCATGAATCAGACTCGAGAACCACGAATATACGACAATATTTCAAAACAGGCAAAAATGCTCAATAACGATGAGATTTAGGACACGAAAAAACACATGCTAAAGATCCAACAAAATGGGTTTGGATTCATTTGCACATTTCAGCGAGGCTTGCAGCAATTTGATGAAGCCGGTGTCTTTCGGTCTCTCCAATCCCCGCTGAACACGATTCTTCATCACCGAGACGAATTCCTTATTGCTCAATTGGCCATCCACTGTAAAGAACGACAACCGAAATATCAGATTCAGAGGTGCATCGATACGGCTCTGGTTCAGACCAACACATTCAAGTTAGGCGAACATTAAATTTTACGATGCTTCAGTACATGACCAAAATCAGGAAATGTGTCTGACATTGAAATGTGTCAGGTTGATCAAAAATTTAAATTTGTCTTCTTCTGCAATTCCAAGACGACACTTTTCAATAAACATAAACTCTCACAGTTTTCATCGAAGAGCACGAACACAACTTCCAAAACGTGTTCGGAAATGTCAACATGCGCAACTGTCTTTCCGACATGCTTCAGGGTGGCTTAAAAGAGGAAAACATAAGATTAAGATGCATTTGACAAAAAATAAGGAAAATACCTTGATCTACTGAGGCTCCGGCAATGTGGTAAAATGTCAACGCCGTATCAACATCGTTGATATTGTTTAGAAAATGAAAGAATTCCAGATATTCGTGCAAATGAATATCCACCGGTTTCTCTTTGAAGTATTTTTTCACACGCTTTCTCATCTTCATCGTCTTCTTTGGAGGAAACTGAGAATAGGCAACAAGCAAGTCCGCAAACTCTACTGCCGTTATCACATCGGAGTCTTCGGCCGCTTTGCGCTTGAACTGAGAAACAATCATCACAGTGGTTCAAGGACGTAAAATACTGCAAAAGCTAAACTCACCTCGAGAGTAAGAATCTCGTCTTGTAAATGCTTGTGAAATTCGAGGAACTTTTCAACGGTCAATTTACCTTTCAAATCTTTCCCGAAGAAGTAGGCAACAAGCGCAGAATTCATCCCCTGCAACAACCAACAATCAGGTCTCTCATGTCGGTGCCAGTATGAATTAAGAATTGGTTCGCTTCAACGTGTCATCTACCAAGAAAATCCCATCCACTCTCCGATATCACTGTTACTCACCAATTCTGTATAGCCCAAATCAACTGAATTAAAAAAATAGGACGATCTAGTATCGAAATTCATGAATTATTCGAAGCAATAATTTGTTCAAGTCCATCGCTCAAGAGAGTCATGCAAACTCATTTCCAGAACTATTCCAAAATGTTATCTCGCACTTCTTCATGCCTTCATAACTTGCCAAGAAAATCACAATTTGTTCTTTACGTAACTTTACAGTGATACACTGGAAAACGTAATTCCTGATGTAAATCCAGGGCAAATTCGAACAGATACTGTACCCGATTTATGACTGCTGAAGATAGAAACTCATCATATCCCTATTCCCAAAGAGATTGGGGAAAATTCCATTAAGAACATAATAGACGGATAAATCGAACTAATCGGGGAAATTTTTAATTTGCAAGGACAAGAAAAAACAGTAAGTTTGAAATCACACAAATAAGGGAAATAAGCAAGAGATCATGTACATGACACACTGAAGTGATAGGAAAAGGACACTCTTCGAACCTTGAAAGTACTGCCAGTAGTTGCATGATCCCTGTGACGCATACCGAACGAGGTATTCTGTCTTATCAAAGTGTCCACCTGGGAAAATTCCTCGGCGTCTACGTCACCGTCTCCATTCAAGTCGAACATCTGAAACGCTATTTCGAAGTGTCGACGGGATGCTGAAGAAATGAAAATGAACTAAAAATCAAATTGATCATGCAAATCTCGACAATAATGTATCTCACTCGACAGGACAGTAAGAAGAAACACGTAATCTGAAAATGATATCAGTCCAGAACTCCCCAGATGATAGAAGATGCTGTCCTCGTTCAGATTCAGTTCCAAGGCATCAACGCGAGGGTCAAATTTGCGGAACTGGTCTAGGCCAAGACCTGATCAAGCATTGCTTAGTGGCTGAACAAATTCGTTAAATATAAACGCTTTACCGTCAGGCTGCATTACTCCGGGTGTAATAGACCTCAAGAAATCTTCGGGAGTCATGAAAACTTCCCAATCATTGTGATCGGTCTGTACTTTCAGAGTGGCGAAGTATCGAAAAATTTTGTCGGGAGTTGAATATTGCCTGATCCGATTCTCATACTCGATTATCTAAAACAAAGTTTCTGATCAACCCAGCTAAATTATTGGTCTAAGAATGAACAATCACTTTGCGCTCGCGGAAGCCGATCTTTTTCTTTTTCTTCCCAGAAGCCACCACTTCAGCACTGTTCGCATCTTCGGATTCAACGTCTTCAGACTCCTCTTCTTTTGAGTGAATTTCCAATGAAGCAGCTTCAACTCGAGGTACGAATTCAGTTTCCTCTACTTTCTCTTTCCCTTCCCTCAAGATCTCGAGAACCCTGGAAAATTAAGCAATGTAAGACTTGGCACTCAGAACGATCAGAACATGAAATCCGTCGCTTACGCTTCCCAGTCAATGACAGTGGCGACGATAATTCCGGTTAGCCAGCAGTAAAACAAAACGGTCGGTATCGACTCCCTAACTGGTCTATGCATGAAATTCTTGTGGCCACGACGGAGGAACAGCAATATGTGTCGGTGATCAGCACGCTGAACGACCGAATGATCAGTGCGCAGAGCTTTGAAAGGACCCCAGCACATAGGTCGTCGAAAATGAGCCACGGTTAGAACACTCTCCTTCATCTTCTGTCTCCATACTCGATGGAATAGACGCACCGAGAGCATCTTCAGATAAGAGCTTTTTGGCTCAGCCAATAATCGGGGTTAATCCGCATTAAGATAGCCAGACAAGTTGCAGTTTCCACAATTAAGATCAGTATTCTGATGGCACGCGGAATAATGAACGATCATACAGCATGTCAATTCCGAACTCCCTTCATGTTCACTTTTATGAAATGCGCAGACGAATACGAAAAATCCATTGAAGAGCGCACGAAAATGTCGGTCCATATCGAACACGAATTATGAGCAGTCAAACCAGCGAGAAATGGATAGAACAATATCACACGCGACCAAACGAAGATGACTACAATTCGCGATCATGATACAAAAAATCAAGAAAAGCTCTACGCAACACAAAGAGAATCAATTTGACACAATCTACCCTCCGTGCAACGACGTCTCCGTACTGCTCTGAAGATTCCAACGTGAATTTACTTAGGTTCTTCGTAAGTTCCTCGGGAAAATAGTCAAGTTCGAAATTAGAGTACTGTACTTTAGAGTACTGTACTTTCGAAATTAGAGTACTGTAATTCGGTAATGTACTTACAACCAGCATGACCCACTAGCCAATTGTCGAAATGAACATAGATGTCACTAGGAGTGTAGTCTTCCGCAGTAGACGAAATGGCGATTACTGTACATTAATATAGCCAGTGGGACGGATTTACAGAACAGCAGTGATGTACTGTGTATATCTGTGCCGTATATGCAGACTTCGATTCTGAAGAATTTACAAAAAAATATGTCAATAGAAAGTTGAAGGAAACGAATGTGATTAAATTTTGATAGTCCGAGCAGTATATAAAACGTGGTGTTCCCAGGAGCCACGATAAGGGACAGCCATTTTGCAGAACATCATAAGGTCAAACTCTGCTTAAGAGTTCCAGCATGAATATTGGGCATGCAGAAAAGTCGGGACTCAGCAGGATCAAAGCAGCAAATCTGAAGCATTCTAAAATTTTCAGCGTTTGTCACTTTATCGTTTACTTTTCTGCCATGTTCATAACTTTTATTTTTTCATCCAAATGTTTTTCATCACTCACTCTGAAAATAGGATTGCGTACGTTTAATGATCATAATTAGATTTTGAACAATGAAGATGCTCCGACTTCAGTTGAAATCCACTTTGGATTCATTTGCCAATATACTGTTTATGGAACAAGAGCCAGGCATTATCGAAGTCCTGAATATAACCTAAAAAAGCAGGAGGCAAATTTGCAGTTTAGCACACGAGTAAAATATTTTACTCAAATCACATCTCGAAATAATTATATTAGATTAAAAAATTAATCTAAAAAACCACGTTTTTCAAGTAAGACTAAATAAATTTGAGTTGCAAAATTTGATCTGGACAAACAAACGGACAAGAAAGCGAGTTAATAAAAACGTGTTAAAATATAAGAATACTGTACAAGGATCTATTAAAGGCTACATTTTTTATATGATGCATTCTTCATGATTTTCCCGAAGTACCAATAAACGTTTTCTGACTGGAACCGTGATATAAAAGTCTGGTTTCAACACAAGTACAGTAATCTTAGCACAGTAGAACACTTTTTTGCCGCACTTACGAACATGTACCTGCTGTCGTATGTTTCAGTAATACTTATGATTCAATACCCATCTTCCACGAAATTTCAGCCCCAAATGTGTTTAAATCCTTAAGTCGTAATAGGCAAAAATATTCATTACAGTGCGATGATTTTTTCAAGTCCCGGGGAATTCCTTGTTACCTTCTGGCAGGCGCACGAAGACCAAGAATTTTGACCACAACATCAAGAACGACAAGTTTCTCGTGAATCAACTTCATTTCAGCCACCACACCCCACGAGTGCAGCACTTCACCCAAATGAGCCTAGATTGCCAAGTGAATCATTTAAAATCCGCAGAACGAACCGAAGGCGTCACCGCACACTCATCTCATGTTCTTCATTCGGTGCATCAGGTCACACTTGAATCAATCAGTATCTGTAATGTTCAGGCTTGTACGGACCCTCCTGTTGCAGACCCAAGTAGGTCGCTTGCACTTCCGAGAGCTTCGTCAGTTTCACTCCGATTTTATCCAAGTGCAGCGCAGCAACTTCCTCATCCAACTGAATGAGCAAAAAAAATTGATGTATTTAGAAGTGCATCATAAATTCAGGCGGATTTCACGGTAAAGCAAACTTGAATATCCAAGAGCATTCGTGAATTTTGCGAGAAAATAATTGCTTCAAAAACAGAAACCTGAGACTCGTATTAAAAATTTACAGATAGCCGGCGAAAAGAACGATCACGAAGAGTTGAAATAGGATATGAAACAACTACCCGAACATTCGTTTTTAACACGAGAAATTCTTCGTTTCTCATTTTCCTTAATGCGTGGACTTGGAACGTCACGAGGACAAAAACAGGCTTTCTTCATAAGAAGGGACGAAAATTATGTTGACTTCTATCAGACATGAAGTCTCGAAAAATATACAGTAATTCAAAGTGTGTACGAAAAAAATTACTTCTTAGCGTTTCACAATCTTAGTTCGGAGACATTTTGGCTACACGGTTAAACCGAAAAAATGAAGTTATGCATTAAAATGCAATTCAGGAAGCCAGAGCCTTATCAATCTTTCTACAGAATATCAGGTATTCAGATATTCCTGTGCATCAATGCTCATGCTTCAAAGGAAGTAACCCATTCAGAAGTAGATTTAAATGGATTAGACTTCCTCTGATATTTAAAATGCTATTCTAACTTCTAAAGAACATCTACACGAAATCGTCGGGATGAATATGGATGGAAAATGTACCATACGGACAACACTTCCTTCATCCTGTTCATCATGAACTCATCAACAGAGAAAACATGCGAACAAGTGAATGAATCTTGATTATCTCCTCCCGCGCCGAAAAATGATCACACCTTTTTCGGCAAAATATGAACTCCAACGCTGTACTGATCATGCTTCGTCCACAACTCGATTTGTGCCAACGTCTGATTCGTAAACGAGTTACTCATCACAAAGGAAGGATGTCCAGTCGCACAGCCCAAGTTAACAAGTCGCCCCTCAGCCAAGAGAAGGACGTGTCTTCCGTTAGCTAGCTTGTACTTGTCCACTTGCGGCTTAATCTCGATCTTTTCCACGGCATTTGAATTCAGCCATTTGACGTCGATCTCGTGGTCGAAGTGTCCAATGTTGCAGACGATCGCATCATCCGGCATTCGCTCGAAATGCTTCTGCGTCACAATATCTCGACATCCGGTTGCAGTGACGAAAATTTGCGCCTTTGACGCGGCTTCTTCCATGGTGGTTACTTCGTAGCCTTCCATGGCGGCTTGCAGGGCATTGATGGGATCGACTTCCGTTATGAGAACGCGGCACCCGAAAGCTCGAAGAGATTGCGCACTTCCTTTACCCACGTCACCGTAACCAGCGACAACAGCTACCTTGCCGGCCAACATGATATCGGTGGCTCGCTTGATACCATCCGTCAATGACTCACGACAACCATAAAGATTGTCAAACTTGCTCTGTAAAAAGGAGGGGTAAGATATTTATGAGAGAGAAATGAATAGATTAGCAGTTATTGGCACAACAAAAATTTGCCCACGCTTCTCCAATTACGAAAGGGAAGGATCTTAAAAATGTACTGCATCTACGTGAGTACCAAGCGCCCTCAAGTAAGACGCACGCCTGAATTTTTAATCCTAAAATTTTGATAAAAATCTTTCCGCAAGTAACACGTAAGACACGCACTCCATTTTATCAAAAGATTGCAATCTTCTGGAAATAAAACATAATCTATATTTTGATTTGAATTGGACCCAAATTGGATTATTTTACATTTTTTTCAAAACGGATGAAAATTTTCCTAGGATGACGTACGAAACGCTTCTGTATTTTTGAAATTTAGAATAAAATTTTTAGAACTTAATATGCGAACTCTCCTTGCCCTCTTAATTTTGAAGAACTGCACGTGGTCAAGTACAGTAATCGCGTAAATACGGGTGACGTACCGCAATAATATACAGTAAAGTATTATGATTCTCGTCTGCTTCAAATCTTCACCTGGTAAATGCATTGTTCACTCAAACGATTCGAATACAGTGAAGACCTTTTTTTTTAAAGTTTCTATCTTACCCACCTCAAGGTATCAGAGATCTGAATCTGTTTTACTGATCAATATTGAACTCTTCGCTGACCGTCATTGAAATTTTCATCCAGCCATGAAAGTTAGAAAGGAAAGCAGACTCAGAAGTTCATCCTCGATGCTTCGTAGACTACGGTTCATTTGCTGAAGGGTGCTCATGACATGTAGTGTTAAAATCTATCACGAATGAATATAGGACTCTACCAAAATTCAAAGGACCAGAAAGAAGTTCGCTTAAGAGAACCCCAAGGAACCAAGAATAAAATGGTTACACAAAGAAATCTTAGTAGAGTCATCTAGTAATAGGAAAATTTCAAAGCTTCTACACTCTACAATAGTACCGAAAATCAATGGGAAATGAACGGCATACGCAATTTGTCTTGGATCTGTGAACTTAAACCTTGCAATAAAAGAATACTGCACACTACCTCGAAAAATATACCGTACCTTTGTGACGGAGTCATTGACATTGATAGCCGGTGTTTTCAAAAATCCCGACTTCAGCATCTTGTACAGATTGTGAACACCGGTGGTGGTCTCCTCGGAAATTCCACGAACGCCAGCCATCAGATCTGGATATTTTTCATGAACAAGGTTTGTCAAGTCACCACCGTCATCCAGGATCATGTTGAGGGGCTATGGAAAAACACATGACACGTTATATTTTTATCCCGAAACTAAGATTCACGCGAAAAAAAATTGAGAGAATAAACTAATGTACTAGGATTTCTAGGAATACGTTATTATGTGATTAATAATTTAATATAAATCCAAAAATCAGACAGTGAAAATTATGTATCATTACATCACGGACGCGAATGTTTTTCTTCTTCCGAACCTTCTGTGTTGCAAAAAGAAATTTCATTACAGCCCAGAACGTTTACTACTGTATCTGAAAAACAGTAGCAATTCAAGAGCGTGTAATATTCAGCTAAGAAATACCGTTTTTAATGAAAGACAGGAAAATTTTGTGCTACACTGACTTGAAAATATTCCGTCAAAATTCAGAATGAAGGATAAAAAAATGTCCCTCATTACCGCTAAATTAACTCCCTCGGACATCACTGAGGCGTTACTGAAACACTAACCTAGCCAAAGATACCACACAGTACTGATAAAAACAGGACTGACCTGAACAAAAGTTCATTCTATTCAATTTTTACTGAACAACCATGAATTTAACTCATCAGAACCTCACGTATCTCCGGCCTTAGCTAATAAAAAAAATGGAATTCCTATACACCTCAAGGCGACACCTACGCAGTATCAAAGACATTAATGAGAATGAGATGGGAGGTCTGGCGCTTTGAAAATACTGTACACGAAACGAATCCTATGAAACGTGACTGGAGTTTGAAAACTCACTTCTCCATCGGCGAAAATCAGAGTCTGATCAATGCACCATAGGTACTCTTCCTCAGTTTCGCCTTTCCACGCGTACACCGGGACACCGGTTTCTGCGATTGCAGCAGCTGCGTGATCTTGAGTACTGAAGATGTTACAGCTTGACCACTGGACTTCAGCGCCAAGTTCCGTCAGGGTTTCGATGAGGACAGCGGTTTGAATGGTCATGTGCAAGCATCCTGCAATGCGGGCACCCTTCAACGGCTTTGAAGGACCGTACTTCTGTCGGAGGGCCATCAAACCCGGCATCTCATTTTCTGCCAGGGTCATTTCTTTGCGGCCCCATGAAGCCAACGACATGTCCGCTGAGAATGAGAATCAAGTTAAAAACACGATCAGTACGATATCGTTCGACAGAGACACCGCACTCTGGCATGCAGACACTAGGAATCCAACGGAAGTTTTCGGAAGAAAAATTTAAATGGTACACGATTGAGCTGAAAAAAAACATGTCTTGTTCAGAAAAAAAGCATCCTCCCACACAAGAAGATTTGTTATGCCATGCTTCACAAGTACAGTAGTATTTGGCAAAAAATGATTGCAAATTTACCCTCGCAGCTTTCTGGTTTTAATCTGAGGATGAGGAGCTTATCTCACAGATTTTCGTGTAGTCCAGCTTCTTCAGAATTCTTGAAATCGTTAGAAAATGGCTCGAAGACCTAAAGTCAGCCCTTATAGAATTAATGCTATGTCGCAAAAGAATTTACGAAAAATAGGTCGAAAAGGGCTGCTTTTTTCGGTGCTAAAGAATGCTACTTCTAAATAATGATTGCCTTTCAGCTTAATCGAACGCCGTTTCCATTTTTATACTTTTGTAGACCCTTCGTACAACATCACATTTTCCCACCAACAGTACTGTACTTGTTCAAAAACTGAGATGGTCTCACATTACGTTCTTGAGAAGCCAGTAAACTAAAAACGGTAAACTATAAACTGAAGTGATAACTAGAAAAAAAAATAAATGAAGAAAAACAGGGGGTACTCCGAATCCATTTGTTTGAGGTTTCACGTCGTTCGCTTCGGGGAGTCAAAAAAGTTTCTCACAATGAAAACTTCGTATTGAATATTCGTATACTGTACTGTTCTGCATCAAACATTGTACAGTACAACTAACTCCTGTTGTGGAAAGGTAATATGGAATTCTCTGAAATACGAAACAGATGCTAAGAAGTTTTACGAATAGAATGACATAATTTTCTCGGATTTGTAAGCTTGAAGTAATTCTTTCTACACGTCATCGGCGCAATCGTCTCTAATTCTGATGACAAAAGAATCTTATTTTATCACAACACAGTCAGCAGACGAAAAATTCCCGAGTATATAACGAACAAAATGTGCATCCTTACCGACTTTAAAGGCGGGCTTTTGACCCGGTCCGGGGGGACGCTTGTCACCAGCCATTTTCTCGTAGATATTCAAATTATCACGGAATGAAACGAAGGAACAAGGCGACAGGAGCCGATCACAATATCCGCAGCGAAGAAAGCAAAAACCCAACTAGCAGGATGCCTGAAAGAAACACAAGTTCAACGCTCGCAATAACTTGTTACTCATAGTTGAAAATACAGCACGTCGTATAAAAGGAAAGAAAAAAAACCGCCCGATCACGTCGACTTCCCTCATTGGCCTGAAACTGAGCGCTTTACTGAGACCCGCGTGGAACAGTTCGCTGCCACGTACGGTTACATAACTAGCGATGCGGAAATAACTGCGATGTTCACGCGCTTCGTGCCCGAGAGAACAAATAGGACGGGCAAAGCAAAAAAATCAAATCCGATCCCAGATCAACGTCGAATACGGATTTATATCTCATTTTATTCATGCAAGGGGCTCAGATATACTTCGTACATTATCAAAAGGGCTCTTGGCATATCGAACAAAATTTGTCCACTCCACGCACTAAATTTTGAATAGCGAGATGCAGTGTGATAAATTCGATGAAGCATTAATCGAAGTCATCAAGGAAGTGTAGGGAGTACAGCAACTATTTTCTAAAATACGAATTTAAGAAGTTCGAAGTAGAGTTACTGTACTGAACAACACTTGAAAATCCACTGGATTTAACCCAAGGCATTCTCAGAAAAAAAAGCGCTAATTCTAGAAAAGATCCTAAAATACTGCATAAGATACAATTCGATGAACTTGGTAAAGGGAATTACAGTCCTTTTCTTTGCCTAGACCCTAGAGCCAAGACTAAAAGCGAGGCGCGTTCGGAAACTCCGATTTTCTTGCTTTTTTCGTATCCCAAAAACTTAAAAGAAAGTCTAACCAATCACTCGTCGCTGTATTGACACATTCGCCCAGCTTATCAAGAAACATTGCGGAAAACCATAAACTTTCGGGTTATCTCGGATGCGAGAAAAATCAACAAATACATGTTCAGATAAGAATTACTCTTTCCCCGAGTATGGATGGAAATTAATCCGCGAATTAACAAGACTTGACCCCTATTCATTACATTAGTTATCTAACATTTCACACAGTTGAGCAAAGTCTCTACTCAGCATCACGCTGTTCTCCAATAACGTTTCGTCGCCAGATTTCGATTCGAAAATTCCCCAAAAAGCACTGATTAATCATATTTGATCCTAGTCGGATGTCTATGATTTCAAGAAAAATAAAATGAAGATTTACGCTTCAATTTTTTTCTATCTGCGAGCTAGCCCCTCACGTGGAATGAAGAAAACTGTTGGCAAATGAAAAATATTATTCGCCGTAGTGCATGATATTATTGCCAAACTTTCAAGAATCGTAATATACCGCACAGTATTCAAGGGACATTGATCAACACTCCGTTCCACTTCACATTCAAGCCACATCAACTGACAAAGAAATTCTCAGCTCTAAATCACTTTGCCATTTGCTTAATAACACATAACTGTACTGTACTTCCGAAATCGACTTTAAAAAAAAAACAAGGGGCTTGCTCAGGTCGTCTTAGATCTGAGAAATTCTTGAGAGCCAAGTAATTCGAAAAAGATTCAGGGAAGCTTCCCGACTGCTGAAGTGAACTCAACGAAGGAACAGGGCTTCAGGAAAGCTCCACTTCATAAAAACCTGATGGATAAGGATCGATCAGATAGCAACGTCAGCTCGGCGCCACATAAAAAAAAAACCAGATCCCGCCTACCGGCGTTCCAATCACGGATACGGGTATACGGCACTCACGGATAACCTTGACTGTCATTGGAGTTTAACATCGAACCATCTCAATCATAATCAGATGAAACTTTTGAATTCATTTCCATTAATTATGCATGAGAACGCACAGGATCACACGGCTCTAAAAAAAAAATAGAACCCAGAACCGATGGCACTGCGACGCGAAACGATAATCCGCGTCAAAGACAAAAGAATATTATTATGTAAAATTTCTCACGGGAAAGTCCCTGAAAAAAAAGAAGAAATTTAATATAAAATACCAACGATGATTGCACAGATCATTGCGTGGAATAGCCAACCATAAGAAGAAGACAACCGAATTTCACAACGATGTGCTTCATTCACACAATTGCATAAGTGCAACCTCACTTCACCAAAGAACTTGTTCGATCACAAGGCTCAAAGCAGAACACTTCCGCAGAAAAATACTTCCACCAATTGCTCGAAGACACTGGAACAAAACGCCCAACAATATTCTTTCGCCCACGAATTTCCATTGGAGAACATGAATCACAACTTGAAATTTTCGCACGCAAAGATCCAACGAAGGATAGCAGAAAGTAACGTGAGTCGAGATGCTTCGATCACTTGACGGCAAAGTTCAAGCATCGGCTTTCGTTGCAAATATTGACTTCCTCAATAAGCATATTATTCTAGGAATCTGAATCCAGACCACCAATAAAAATAAACTTCCAGAGCATGACTTACTAGTAAGCAGTACCTTCGCGTGCTATCACCGCAAATATGCCCGTTAAAAGTATTTCAACTTCCTAGAAGCAACCTGAAGATATCACAATGCATGGTTCGATGAAATCAAGAACGTGGCTTTAGAACACGACATGTTTATCATCCGATTCTCGAATGCGAGATCCAAGAGAATCTTCTGCGTTGTCCAGTTTATGATACCTTGTTCCACTCCCACTTCGTCGCCGTTCACTATTGTTTCTTGATCTGCTTCCTTCCACAATAAGAGCAAGCACCTATAATGGAAGGAATGTTAAGGACTCTGACATCGAGAGTTTCAAGAACGCGTGATTTGCAAGAAGAGCCTCAGAGAATGTTTCTTCTATATCTAAGGTGTCCGAAAAGTTGACATGAATTACTGTACATGGTTAGCCATTTAATTCTCATACGGACATTGCGATAATACCGTATTTACAGAAATATAACCCCCATAGATTTTAATTCAGAAAATGGAAAATTTTTTCATAGGCACATACAGTATGAGCGATCAAACACCCCTTGCTTTCCCCATACTTTGACTTCACAGGAACTTGAAGCTTCTGAGTAAATTTAGGTTTTCCTCAGTCCCACAACCATTGCTCTTCCCATTTAGCCGAAAACTCGTAAATCTTGAAGATCTAAACGCAGACAGTTTCTTGGCTATTTTTAATTTATACAGTTAAACCTCGAGTCAAATGCCTGCATATGTCGAAATGCACCTTCCAAATCACGTTCGTTTGTTCCGATAAACTTGGCAGAAGATTCATTACTCACCTTATGACGATTGATGAACGCCAGGTACACTAATGCGGAAACGACAATCATGAACCCCATGTAACTTATGAAATCCGAGTGTTGTGCATCTGCCATGCTCTTGCGCATCAATCTTGGATCATTCATGAATGAGTCTAAATTATGTTCCGGTTTTCTCGAGTCTGTACGAAGTGTAGCTTTCTTGGGTTTCTCTTCCACCAACGCAATATTCTCCTGAGACGGTGGCTCATCAATAGAATCGGAAAGACCATCATCTCCATACGCCATTTGATCCTTATCCGCATAATCCACGTCAAACTTGTCAACAACGCCATTGACAGAGGGCTTGTTCGGCTTTGTTACTTTGCCACTTTCATTCTCAAGAACTGACTTTTCTGCCGGCTTTTGTTTGATCTTTGCATCGATGCTTGGCGTGACATTAGCACTTGCGGCTGAATTGGATTTTTCTTCCGAAACAGAAGGAATGTAAGTTTCCCGCTCATTCTTCTTGTCCACTTTCGACGGTTTACCGCTAGTTATTGTCCCAGCTTTCGTAGAGCTTTTCTCGACTCCAATACTCGACGATCGTTCCTCTTTTTCGACAGACGTGGTAATGAGCTGTCCTTCGGTGGATGATTTTTTCGGCGAAGAGACAGTTCCAATCTTACTTCCTTCGGTGCTCTCCTCTATAGGTGCTTCCAAAGCAGTATCGTTTTTTTGACGTTTGTCCATCGTTGGCGCATTTCGTTGTTTATCTTTCACAGGAAGTTTCCCGGGTTTCAAGCTCGTCCCCGTGAAATTTGTCGGAACGGAATTGTTCGATAACTTTGCTGAGCGTGAAATACTTGTAGCATCAACTTCAGTACGGTTAACATGTACGAGATCTTTCCCGCTTCCAATACAGATTAATGAAGCAACATATTTTCCAGTATCAAGGGCAACTTTGAATGCTCGACATTCGAGAGTCACAAAATCGGTTTCCTCACGTGGCACACACAATTCTTTGCACATGGTTCCATTTGCTCTTAGAAACGACTCTACTTCAGGCGAGAAGCACCTAGATTCCGTCTCGGGAACATTGAATCCGTGATTCTCACAGATGGTTTGGTCAGTCACATTCTTCATGGTCTGGAACACCGAATACCGCGATGTTTTAACAAATGCTACAAAACTTAGGTGAACCAGCCATACCTGCAGGAAGAAGTGCTTTGCTGAGTTCAGCAGTGTTTGATTGGTCCTGATCAAACCACAAATGTCAGCTTCAAGCTGTTCGGTGAGCAGACACAGTTGATGCTTGCTTTCTTGGCAAACCTTACTCGAGATCTCCGGTCGACATATCAACTTCGGATTTGCTTCGACGCGATTCGTCTTCGAAATAACGAACAGGAGGAACAAACTTCCGTACGACCACGCGATCATAATACTTTCTGCGAACGTCAGGACACTTTTTTTAACAATACGAAGAAAATGGAATACAACACGAAAAGCCGGTGTGGCAGGCAGGGCGTACTCTACCCTCAATTTGGGTCCTGCCTGAACAAATAGTAAGGGTGCCCCCTCACATCTTCGAGCGTCATCTGTCGGCGAGATCCATGACCCATCATCTATCCCACCAGTAATCGCGTTATCTCTCTCATGATCTGAAGGCGCATAGCAGGGGGTGACTTGGGAGACAGCTTGGCATCACTTCACTCCAAATACTTGACTTGTGATCATCTCTTTATCATCTGACGTTTTATCATTGTGACCTGGTGCTGTGAGATTATATGACGTGTAATAAGAAAACATGTGTCAAAGTCTTACTCTGATAGACAAGGTTAAATCTCACAGTGGGATGAACCCCTCAGCCGCCGTGACGCGACGTTATGGTACAACTTCCACTCAACGCAGCTCCATTCAACGCTACCTCTTCCACGCCACCCCTAGGAGCGCCAGCCTCTCATTGAGTGACTTCAACTGCAATGCTTGGTGGTGTAGAATGTAAACAGAGACTCCAAGGGACAAATAACATAGTGCACATATAAAAACACCTTTTTTAAATAAATAAAATATA